CTTGATACATTGCAGTATTTATTAATAAGTTCTGTTATTAATATAGCAGAAGAGTTTAAACATCTGTTAGAAACTACCAATTATCTATACTTCAATACAATACTTCATTCAAACCGGCCAAAATGTATTTTTAACGAAAACTAATTCCAACTAAAATAAAGTATTATAGAGTAATGACTTAAGGTAGAGATGCAGTTTACCTGACAGGTATTTTAATTCGTTAATTAGGAAACCAAGATGATCTTCCTTGTCCACAAACCTATATATTTTCAGAAAAATTATTGTATGAATTTTAAAATTTTGTTAGTATTTTTTTCTTATGGACACTGTAGTTTGAAATATGCACAAAAATGTGCTATTTTGGTCAAAAGTGATTTAAAAAAAATTTCTTTTTTTCACCATGTTTTTTTTTTATTATTTATGTACAGCCTTGCTAAATCTTGCTAAGAATTCAAAAGAGATAATGTTTGCACCTGTTACCTATATTTTAAAATCGTCTTTTGAGTATGTTCCACTATTCACAATTCTACCAAATTTTAACAGTCTATAGCCAAGACTGTTTGGATAATAAAAAGCAAAAAAAAAAAAATTTCACTCCCAAGTGCCCACAAACCTGCATCTCTACCTTAATATCACTGACTTTAGTTGAAAATATTGTCATTTGTCATTTTCTGTTTTTCACATATTTGATATATCATGTTACAAGGCTAAAGAAAATGAATTGGGAATATGGGGGTCACTGTTCTTAGTTTGGAGAAAAAAAAAACACAGTGAAAATAGTAGCATTTTTTGTCTGTTTTAGAGCATTTTACAATTGTTTCCTATGGCAAGTATATATCTCAATATTTTGCTTGGTGACATACAGTGAAAGAATAATATATAGTGTCTTAAGAAGGTAAATTTTTGATATTTATTAGTATTAAACAATTAATAATGCTAGTGGGTTTTTTTAAACAAGGATATGTGTTTTCATTGTGGTCTATGGAAAGCAGTGCTGAAACAGTGTTATGCCCATTACTTTATTTTACAGATTTTCTCCCAAAAAAACAACAGATTGACAATGAAAAAAGGTCACAAACGTTTGAAAAATGCTTAAAAGATTATTGTAGACGGATTTTGAAATGAAATAGTGTCACTACTATATATGCTAAAATATGCACACATGTAAAAACTTGCAGTTACTGTATTCATGGATTCACATGACTTCCCATCGTACATATATTGATTTGTTCCATATACATTGTAGTATTTACTGATGATTTAGTGTTTTACAAATGTATAATACTCCATTATTAGTGTATATAATAAGTAGAATATTTTAGAACAATAGCCTTAATTAGCATAACAATAACTTGTATTGTTTTCTTGAAAGATTGAGCAGGGTAAAACTGACATGCTGAAAGATGCCTAGGAAGAACACTATTAACATCAAAACTGATGAAATCTTGTTTTACAAATAAAACAAAACAAATTATTACAAATTACAATGCTTGTATCTGCATTGCATTGATGAATTGCAACTATTTCTAAGTAGATGATGCCATTTCTGCCATTTTTTAAAGACATCAGGTGAAATGGTAGAGTTTATAAGAGAGAATCACAGCAATCACCAGTGCATCAGAATAAGCGTTATTGAGTTCTCTCCTTCAATCATTTTTTAACTTTTCTGTTTTTTGCTACTGGAGAAAATACTGTTATTAATAGTTAGTACACTATCTGATATTATAAATATACAAAAATCATAAAATGGTTGTCATAACATACACACATATTTCATACCATACCAGAGCCTGGTGAGTTAATAAGGTTAATAATATAATAAATATTAATTATCACTTGACCTTGTTAAACCAATGCAGTTATTTCTCACTTCACCACTGAAAAGAGTAGATGAAGTGACAGACGGAGTGAGATAGAAGATATCATACCTGGATACTGCTTTGTTGATTTCTGGATTACTGTTGCTAGATTTTAACTGACTCGGAGACACTGGAGGTTGGAAGCTTCGTTTAGTGACACTACTGATTGGCAGAGGTCTACTTCGTGTAAATCCTATTCGACTTCCACTGGGTGGTCTTTGTGCTGAAACCAAACATACCCATAACTTAGTGACAGATGCTAGCAGGCAAATCTCCATCATATTATGCCATATTCCAATCCAGTTTGTTAGATTATTACAACATTTCTATATAAAATGACATCAAGATATAATGTTATGAAATGTTATATTAATAATAATTCACCCAATCTTAGTTAAGTAGTAACAAATTAAGAATTTACAATCTTATCTGTTGTAATTAGTCTAAGCAACTCTTTAACGAAACTATCATTTTTCTATCATTCATCAATCCCTAAGTAATGACATCTGTAATTCTGGTTTAAGTTTAATTTATTATTATTCAAAAACAGTGAGATCATTTGTATAGAAATAGGAGCAGATATCAAGAAATAATTAAGTTATCACATTAATAGTTGGTTTAGAAGTATACACATCATGCTCAAATACTTAAAAGTGTTCTCAATGAAAAATATTTTGACAAAATACAACCAGAAATTGTGTAGTATTGGAAATTTTTTAACAATTTCTATTTCATTAATACATGTATATTATTTTGTTGTGACTTTGTGTTAGTTGAAATCAGTCAGCTAATGGGATCAAAGATCAAATTTCATCCAATAACACTGCGATACATAGCTATTTGGCTACAAAATTGATCAGATCAAGTAAAAGTTGTAATTGATCTCTCTTTATCAGTTGTATGTAAGATAGAAGTAGAAAAATAGTAGATAAAACTAAGTACCTTCAGGTTTGTCTTGAATTCGTTCTATTTTCATTCCTTGTGGTTGAACCCAGTCTGGTCGCTCTGTTTCTAGCCACCAGAACAGTTCAGCTAACATCACTATTATATTAGTTTTTAATAGAGGAGGAGTATAGAGCAGATCTTCACAGGATAGTGCAAACAATCCAGGGATATATTCTGTACAGAAACTCTTAATAACTTGAAGATTGTAGATAGAATCCGCAAATGACATATTTTGATGAATGGAAATATCTGGTGAGTGTCAAAACAGGAAAGTCAGTGAATTCACTATGAGTGAAATAAATACAATATTTGCTTTAGTAAGTAGTACATGTACATGCACTTAACAAAATTACAGAAGTGTGTCTATGGTCAAAATGATAAATACAAGCAGCCTCGCGGCTGAGATAGCTCCGCTGTTTGCAATGCACATTTCAATTATGTAGAACAGAAGATATCATTAGAAAATGAACAATATGCATAGTATCAATGGAATGGGACTTGCTGTTTTCAACAAAAATTCAAAAATATCATTTTTCACTATAAATGATTGTGGTTTTTAACAAGAAGAAAATATCACTTTTTACCAAAAATGACAAAAATATTCACCAAAATTACTGTAGATAATTAAAGATATCATTACAAAATGAACAAATCTGAGAGAGGTCCACATGTAGTACCTATATATGTAATAATATCAAAGCAATTGGACTTGTCGTTTATAACAAGAAGTCGAAAATATCACTTTTTAACCAAAAATGACAAAAATATTCACCAAAATTAGAGAATTAAAGATATCATTTATGATTACAAAATGAACAAATCAGAGAGAGGTCCACATGTAGTACCTATATATGTAATATCAAAGCAATTGGACTAGCGGTTTTTAACAAGAAGTCGAAAATATCACTTTTTACCAAAAATGACAAAAATATTCACCAAAATTAGAGAACTAAAGATATAATTACAAAATGAACAAATCTGAGAGAGATCCACATGTAGTACCTATATATGTAATATCAAAGCAATTGGACTTGCGGTTTTTAACAAGAAGTCGAAAATATCACTTTTTACCAAAAATGACAAAAATATTCACCAAAATTAGAGAATTGAAGATATGATCATGAAATGAACAAATCTGAGAGAGGTCTACCCAAAGTACATATACACCAAGTATCAAAGCATTCAGGCTTGTAGTTTTCAAGAAGAAGTCGAAAAAGTAAAACATTGACATGGATGACGACGGACGACGGACAATCACTCATATGATAAGCTCCGCTCTACAAAGTCGACAGCGGAGCTAAAAATACTATTTTAATGATTTAGTATACAACAAATGTGATTTTGAGTTTACATGCGTTTCTATTAGATACATTTTTTAAATAGAGCAAATGTGATAGACAGTGAAAACATAAATGTCCATTACGGATGAGTAATACATGCATTACATTTTGTACTATATGTACACAGACAAGCACACAATAGGCCAGACCAATGATATCTACATCCACCAGTTAGGAAGTATGAACTTCTATTTCAAGTTCTCAACATGTGTATGCAGTCTTACTCGGTCAATATATCTTGATGTAAGTCACAGCTAGACCATTTCTCCATGCATGATATGTCTGGGTTACCATGCCATATAAATCTATGCCTTGTCATTTCATACAGTGCAGTGTACTCATCAATAATTGATGTATTCTAAAGACGTAGCCCCATACTTTACACATCACATGCTGCGCTGTGTCTTCCCATTCATTTTGGCTTTCCATGAAGGCTTTCAGCAGGTGATGTATTTACAAAATATGGAAAACTTGGGTTTGTACCTCCTTGATACAAACAAAACAAACTTTTCACTTATTATGTACATTTGAAATGTATTACTCACCTGTAATATTAAGTAACTTTGGGGCATAAAAATGTAAAATAACTGCTAGACAACATCCATCACAAATATCTTTAAGTAGATCATCCATAGTAGGTAAAGTGGGAACGGAAGGTGGCACCATCTGTCAAGTCAAAACACATATTAGCAATTACTCAAGACTATAGGCTACTTCGAGTGTGTGTATGCGTGCATTGTAGTCACATTATTCATATCATTCCTAGAGTGCAGTGACTGCATGTTTCATAAAAAAAAAAACATCTAGTTAAAGAAGAGCACATCAAACAAGTGTGTATATGCATGATTATAGTCACAGTAATCATATCTTTCAGAGAGTGCACGTTTCATACAACAGGAATTCTAAAAATCAAGTTTTGTCAGCTTGTTGACACACACTTAAATATTGTGACTTGAATTTCATTTTACCAAATAACAAGTCATTGAAAATGACACAGTTCCCGTTCAAACTGTTGAAATTGATCTTCATGTTCTAAACTTGGTCTTGACAATTTTCAAGTATTTACAAAGTGCTAAATACCCTTCAAATACAGGTTATGCCTGTATAAATACTTGAAACTGACTACTGGGTGCATTGACATGAAAAAACACCAAATTTGGTTCACAGTGATCAAGTTTGAAGGC